ACCCATTTTGAATAATATTGCATGAGTTCCTGAAACAAGGCTTTTTTTTTCCTTGCTAGAAATGTCAGCTGAAATCTGATTGAGATCGTAGTCATGGATTCTCTGGGATGGTTTCAGACTCATTATTGTTTTGGAACTAGATGGTCCGTTTCAACTCCAAGGCTATTTTTTGTGATTTAAAAGTCGTGTATGAAAACTCTCTGAGAATTTCTGGGCCTCCTCTAGTTTATTTTAGAGGAGAGAGAGAGAGTGAGATAGTGTAGGCAGTTAGTGGTGGTCAGTTCTGGCATTGTTACTGTCCCTCTCTTCAATCTAAGTCATTTTTGCACCACAGAACTTCAGATTAGAGTAGCCAACTAACCTCTCTGTCACTCAGCGTCTTGGATTCCAGTTGAGATGAATGGGAAAAGGCAGCCAAGGAGGGGAGTGTGTGTGTGTGTGTGTGTGTGTGCGCGCGCGCGCGTGTTTGCGTTGATTACCTCTAGCTACCGTTTTGCAGTAATGAAAATGTAAATCTTTCCAGTAATACTGAATTGACTGCATGAAGCCTGATTCTTGGGCTCAGGTTGTTTCTAATGATGGAGAGTGAAGAGTCCTCGGTGGTGCTGTAGCCATTTATTTGTTTTCTTCTCTCTGAAATCAGGAGTCACACAGCACGTCTGCTTCTCCGTCAGCGTTAATGAAGGGCTGGAGTGAATATGCACGGGGTGTGAATTCCCTCATTCCTGGAGTCAGACTCTCTCAGTTGCTGACAGCTGTGATTACAGCAGAGAGAAACTCCAGCTTGAAAGGCCCTGACAGGAGTAACCAAGTGCTGAAAAGAAATACGAAGTAGCCAGACTGACTTCCCACCGACCGTCAAGTTTGACTTAGGGAGCGGAGGAAATCAATGAGGGGAATATGAGGCGTTTTCTCCTTATCGATTTCCATGTCTAATTATTCCTTGGAGGTGGTTTGCGTTAATTTTTATACCTTTTGGGGACTATAATATATACATAGCTAGGCTGTGAAAAATGTCTTGACAGAGTCTGACATGTTCCCTACCCCTTTCTCAGTATGTGAATGTTCCTAAAATCCTCAAAGGCAGAGAGGTGCCCGTGATATCAGCAAGGGGACCCCATAACTGACCAACATCATAGATTCTTAGATGATGTTGTTAGTTACGGTTGATTCTAGCTCATAGTGACCTCAGATGTGGGAGGACTGTCCTGCTGCATCCTTGGAGTCTTTTCTATGTTTGAGCACATTGTGGCAGTAGCCACTGTACCAGTCTATCACGTTGAGGGTCTTCCTCTTATTTTAATTGATTGAAGTGGAAAACAATCACCACTTTACCAAACACGATGTCCTCTGATGTGGACTGTTTCCTCCTGATAATCTGTCCAAAGTGCTTGAGGCAAAGTCAGGTCATCCTTGTTTTCTGAGGAGGATTCTGGCTCTGCATCTTTGAGGACAGATGTGTTTGTTCTTACAGTGGAAGTCCATAATGTATTAAATATTCTTCTTCAACTCTGTATATTTCAAATACATCCATTCTTCTTGAGTCTTTCTTATTTATTGGATAGCTTTTATCATGCACACGGAGTCATTGAAAATACCATGATTTGGGTTAGGCGCACCTTACTCCTCAAGGTGGTATCACTGCATTTTTTTTTTGTTTCTAACATAAAAATTCAGTTTATTTCTCTGGTTTTGACACAGTACACAAGAGGGCAAAGTGTTTCACATCATAGAATTTCACTTCCAAGTCTTTTGGAATGTTCATTTCTTTGGCTAAAAGGAGAGTTGCCAGCAAAGTCAGGCATTAGGTAGGTAGGCCACTAAAATAAGGGGGGGGGCAACACTGACACCATTCTTGGCGGGATGGGTGGGGCGCGGGGGTTGCTGTTAGTTGCAAGCTGATTTTCTAGAACTGTTAGCAGGAAGCTGGAACCATTTCTGGAGGCTCACAGGGCCTCCGGCTTCAGTCATCTCCGCCGCACAGGTACAGCAGGGCTTTTTGGTAGTCGCTCTCGGTGTCTTGCTGGATGAAGTGCTACAGGGACTTGCCGTACTTTCTCTTGAATTCAGATCTAATTTTCAACATGTCCACTTCACTGCGGGAGACCATGATCCTAATCAGAATCTTATCGTGAGTTCCCTTGCCCTTCATGGAGTCAGTCGGTCAGCAAAGTACAGGGGCTTGTTCTGGATACACTGGACCAGGTTCAGGAAAGCATTTTCCAAGTCTCCTTTGACTTCCTTCTTGATGCTCTCCAGCATGTCATAAGGACTGGAGCTCTTGGACCTTT